TCCACCAATTACAATTGAAAACCCTACGATTAGACATAGAAACGGTCTCCCGTGAAAGAGCAACACGGATCGTTAACCACAAAACGGTCGGGCTTGACACAACTAACACTGGTCGTATAGATCTGTATATTTCTAATGACATAAAAATAAGTTAAATTTCCAATAATCCTGGAAAACCTAGCAACATAGAATATAAGAAGAATCCAAACAACAAAATACCAATAACTAATAAGATAAATTTCTCGAACTCTAGCACCTTGTTCAACCCATGGTGGTGGTTTACGAGGAGGCCGAACAATCAGAACCGATGTGATTGATCCTCCATTGTTGGCCGAACTCATACTTTCCCCAAACCTATCGCTACCGGCCCAACCCTCCTTGCCCCTCGTACGTACTTAAGCCACTGCTCGTAGTCGTCCTGATCACGGCGCCACGACCTCTCTCGACTCAAACAAGACCTTCGATTTGGGTCCGCACCAAACTCACGTTCTCACCTTCCATCGTATGCCTTCCCGTGGCAGAAGTAGTATAGGGCCTGGGGGGGCTTGTGCCCCTGCAACCTTTTGTTTGTTTGTTTTTCTCTTTAAAATAATAATTTTATTAATTAAGAGAACAATACAAGGTAGGGGGACATTAAGCCAAAACCTACCAAACCAAACAACGTACGGGTAACTAATCGCATCAAATTTTACAATGCCCATGAATTTATTATAACTGCTCGGGCTACTATCAAAGTTATTAGCGTTAGCCGCTACATAATGAGTTTCCCTATTACATGGTTTTTTAATATAAGAATACATGAAGTTGTGATTTTGAAATATCTCTTGCTACGCTTTGGAGACCATCTATTTTGCTTCACTTTGAATGAGTTGTTTTACTGCACTTTCTCATTTCTTATAGTATTTGTTCTGTTAAATGCCAGCATCCTTGACTGGGATGAGTTTTGAACCTGTGACCTCCTCCTTAGGAGTGTCACTGTGATGTCATCGAACCACAAGGTGATTGGCTTACTTTGAACGAGTTGAACCTTTATTTGACAATTTTGGGCCGACCTTAATGCTTGAAATGATTAAGAATAATTCAAAGATCTATTTTAGGGTAGGGGCGGAGCTTGGGCACTGGGCCCGACTAAATTGGCACAAAAAAAATCGAAAAAGATTTACACGAAAGTTTTTACACTAAAAATTAAAATGTTTTTTTAAATTGGGGGTGAGCCAGGGCCTAAATTGACCCCTTCCTAGATCCACCAGTGATTTAGGGACAACATTATTTTAACGGCTTTATCAAATTAAAAAATCATATTTAGAATTAAATGAGAACAACGATAAACGTGAGAACACTCACATTTACTGAACTAGTTGTTTTTGTTGTTATTGATGGATTGAGCTCAAGATTCACCAAAGAATTCATATGAATCGGTTTTTCACGCTGATTCCTAAGGTAGTAAAAAGTCGAGCCTTTTTACGTAATGTGCCCCTCCAAGTGCACCGAGTATTGAGAAGAAGAAACTTGGATGGTTTGAATAAAAGTCAACTCTTTCTTTGCCAACTCATCCAAGTGGCTGTTAGAGGCAAGAGAGTGTATTTATTAATTTAAACCCTTGGAGCCTAATTCTATCACATCAAGCCATTGTGTATTCTTTGTTTAATCTTCTCTTTGGTGTATTTAAAGCACTTGTAAGACCGCATTGAATGCAAGTGATAAATATATAAACTTCTTCTTTTACTCTCTCCATCTCTCATGTTCTTCAATGGTTCATCACCTTTTCTAGCATGGTATCAGAGCGTTTAAGCTCGTAGACCTTACTTACTTCCGCAAGATTACTCTACTCATCTTCAACTCCCTTTCATCGGATTACTTTTTTCGGGATTTCTTGTGTGTTCAGTCTTTAACCTAGTCGTTGGCTGAGAAAGATGGAGAACTTGAAGACTGTTGTCATACCTGTGACCTTGAAGGGAGTTAACTATCTCGTATGGTCAAGGATAGTGAAACATGTCCTTGGTGGAAGAGGCTTATGGGGTCATATCATTTCAGGAGAAGCTCTAAAGCAAACCACTCATGGAAAAGATGACAAGGAGACTGTGGGGGTAGATGAAGGCAAATGGGGTCAAGACCTCATGATGATGTCTATTGTCCAAAGCTCACTTGATAGTCCCATAATGGAGGCCTATTCCTACTATGAATCCGCAAAGGAGCTGTGGGAAACTTTGCAAAAGGTTTGTGGAAACATATCCAACCTTAGTGGGGTCTTTGAAGTGAAGAAGGCCCTCAACAACCTGAATCAGGAGGACATGGGATTCACTCAACACTTCGGAAAGTTCAGAGCTTTATGGGTATAGTTGGAAATGATGAGGCCAAACACCACTGACCCATCTATTCTAATGAGAGGCGTGAGCAAGACAAAGTCTTAGGTCTGCTCCTCACTCTTAATCCAATCTTTAATGATCTCATCAAACACATTCTAAGGGCAGAGAAGCTGCCTAACCTAGAAGATGTAGTGCTCAAATATAGAAGAAGCAAGGTTCGCTGGGACTTTTTGGTGAAAAAGGAGAACTAACCATGGCCAACAAAGCTGAGAAAATGGAGGGTGCTTTAGCAAACAAGGTGTTCTTCAAATCGGGCGACTTCAACAAACAAGGAGATAAGCGTGTGACATGTGAGCATTGCAAGAGGTCAGGCCACTACAAGAACAATTGTTGGATACTCCATCCACATCTCAAGCCACCATCCAGGTTCAGTCAAGCTAAAGCTCATGAAGCTATGTGAAGCAATGAGGCTGGAAAGGCTAGGATATCCACTTCTCAATATGTGGGATCTTCTTCTCAAATTCCTAATGGTGATGCCTTCATCCGCAAGTCAGACATTGAGGCTCTCATCAAAGCACTCAATGCAAACTCTGGTAACATTAGTAGTAAATGCTTAAATGCATTACATGCTGGCATGCTGCTAAACCATTAATTGTAGATTCAAGAGTATCTCATCATATAATTAAGGATTCTAGTCTTATTACCAACATTGAACCTGTTTCAGGTGATGTTGTGATTGCTAATGGTGATAGGATACCTATTAGAGGTATAGGGGACCTGAAAGTTTTTTATAAAAAGTCTAAAGCTTTTTACATGCCGACATTTGCATCTAACCTTCTTTCTGTTAAGAAGGTTACTACTTATCTTAATTGCAAAGTTATTTTTAGTCCTAATGATGTTCAGTTTCAGGATATTAATACGAGTAAAATGCTTCAAAAGGGTGTGAGCAAAGGAGACTTGTATGTGCTTGAAGATACCAACCCTAGACTTGTTTTACCTACTGCGTTTAGTTCTATTCATGTTTTGGCTAATGATGCTTTGTGGCATGCTAGATTAGGTCACCCTCATTCTCGTTCCTTGTGATTGATGTTGCCTAATCTATCGTTTAAGAATGAAAGTTGTGAAGCTTGTATTCTTGGCAAACATTGCAAGTCTGTCTTCCCTAAATCTATGACTATTTATGAGCATTGCTTTGATCTTGTGCACTCTGATGTTTGGACTGCTCCTTGTGGATCTAGAGAAAATCATAAGTACTTTGTAACCTTTATAGATGAAAAATCAAAAAATATTTGGCTGACTTTGATTCAATCTAAAGATAGAGAGTTCTAGAAGCTTTCATCAACTTTCAAAACTATGTAAAGAAAATGTGCAATGTGTATATAATCACTCTCTCTCTCTCACACACACACACATATATCTAATTATCTATTTATTTATTTATTGAATTATTTATTTATATATTGCGTTAGGGCTCTTGAGACGACTCATGAGCTCAAACGAATTGAGCTCAAAGGAATTTGCTTAATGAGCCGGCTCGAGTTTGGTTCGAGGTTTGATCGAGCGACTCATGAGTACGCCGTAAAATGTGCCTGTATAAAGTCCGAATCATTGAAAACTATCAAATTAGGACCTAAAATTTCACATGTTTTGATTTATTTAACTTTTCATTAATCCTGTTGCTATTTTTTGGTTAATTTTCTTCACAAAAGTTTGCGAGTTTGATAAAATTAAATAATACAACTAATAATATTTATTTAGTAAAATTAAATAATATTTTAAAACTATAAAAAAAAGAAATACTCACTCCGTGATTAGTTTATAAACATAAGTCAAACTGCTTTTTTTAAGCTGTTAATCTCGCCGTCTTTCTAAATTTTTTGATATCCCTTTTCTTATTTTTGTGATTTCATGAAAGAAATGTTTTTAAAATAATATACCTTCATTCCGCCTATATATGATATTACTTTTGTCCTTGATCCCCATTTCAAACTTGCTACTTGTCAACAATGTTTAGAGTACTATTATACTTATTTTTTGGGTCCATTACCTATGTACGAAGATAAGCCCATAGATCCTAAAGAGTAACCTTATATCATCAATTATTTAATGAATTTCATGCACATTATGGTAGCACACCCCCTCCCTCAAAACCAACTACTTCATCTAAAGGAAAATCATTTTGCAAATCTATGAAGAAGAAATCAACTCCCGGAGTTGACTTTCCTTGTGAATAAGCTTTCTTTAAGAAGAAATCAACTCCGGGATTAATAAGCTTTCTTTATATCTAAGTATCTAACATTTCCTTGTGAATATGAAGAAGTGAATGACTTTGACGTTCTCAAATGGTGAAAGGACAAGGAATGTTTCCGATTTTATCGAAGATGGCGAAGCAAGTGTTATCAATGTCGGTGTCAACAGTATCCATGGAACAAGAATTTAGCAAAGCCGACATCCTAACAGATTATAGGACAAGATTAAGTGCACAATCTCTTGAGACACTCATTTGCTTCCACGGTTGAAGGACCGACATAGAACTCAAGAAGTTTGAATTGCCCCCAACTACCAGTTTATGAAGGAACCAACAACCGACGCCGGCAGATATTCCAACTGATTTCTAGCAGATGTATTTAATGTTTTAAATTATTCTCAATTCTCAATTGTACTTTATATATCAAATAAATAGTTAATTGAAATCTCTGAACTGCTTTTAATGTACAATTAATGTATAAGTCAAACATAAGTCAAACTGTATTAACAGCTTAGAAAGAAATATTTAATGTACAATTGAAATCTCTGTACAATTAATGTATTTAATTATACAATTCACTTTATAAAAAAAAGAAATACTCACTCCGTGATTAGTTTATAAACATAAGTCAAACTGCTTTTTTTAAGATGTTATCTCGCCGTATTCTTTCTAGCACTTGTTGAATTAATTTGAAAAAAAAATAACCAAAGGACCAGCCCAACCCGGCCTGGGACCGGACCGAGACCCATCCGGGTACCCGGACCGGAACTAGTACAAACCAGGCCGGACCGGAACTAGTACAAACCAGGCTGGTATCGGGCCTGAATTTTGTAGTACTGAAGCACGCCGGGCCCGAGCCTGACCCAACCAGGCCCGATTCCATCCCTAAGCGAAAATGTATTGATTATGCATTCCTACACCAGTTCGGGGTTTATAACTTTATCATGGCAATGCATGGTACAGCCAAAACCACATTGGCATCTTTCCGTGAAATTGTTTTGCGGGTGTATCTTTGTGACTTTGTGTACCAAAAACCTATCGGTGATTAAATAAAAGATTTAGGTATCTGATGCATTATTATCATCAGTGCTGCTCCACCAAAAACTAACAGAAAAACTTGTAGTGACTGAGCGTACATAATGCCACCATTTCGGGGGTATGTAAAGCATCTCTCCTTCCTCTAAGATGCAATCTTGGAACTCAAGATCTATCATTTTTGGAAATTGGCTTTCATTTATATTGTCCAGATCCACCTTCAAACATATTAGACAGCATTTGGTCAGAAGAGCATTAGAATAATTCCAATGAATGCAATTGGTAATATGTATAAAACACTTAAAAAGACATGTCCTGTTGAGCAGGTATGCAGCGCCGGTCCAGGTATAGGGGCAACCTAGGCTACTGTCGTGGGCTCATTATATGTATTACGTAGTATAAAAAGTAAACCCCACACCTGGCTTACACACTCACGGAAGTACAGAATGAAGCTACTACTGTCTACCGAGATCAAAAGCTCCCAAGAGCCGAAAATCAGACTTGAAATTTTGAGTCTACAACTCATGCTGCATCTGAACTCAGAAGAAATCTCTGAATTATCAATTATAACAATGGTAAATTGATTTATGTTGATTAAATCCATTCATCTACTCATCTATAGATTTTATACTACAAGTGAATTGTACAGCTTGATCTATTTCCTTGGTTGATTCAATCTAGCATCCATTTTATAAATCAATTTATTTTTTATTAGGACTTACAGATTCAATTAAGGCATAGATTTTCACTCACAACAGTGAACTATAGAATTAATATGTCGATAAATATTCAAATTTTGATCCATATCCTAATGTCTCCATTTCTTAACAAATTTTGTTGCTCCTGTGACAGGAGTTTCTGAAAGTTGTAACTATTGTGGACCTACTTGATGTCTTCAATGTCACAAAAAGGTTGAACATGATGCATAATATCAATCTTATACCGTCATAGATGATTTTTCATCCAAGAGCATCAAAAAAATTGTTTTTTATGATTTCTTATATTTTTATTGAAAAAAGACTTAAATTTTATTTATTGAGTTTTATATTTTACAATGAATATTTTGTTATAGATTTTTATGATATCTTTAGGGGCCTTTTCTTCGCATATTGTATCGGAAATGTCAGGACCGGCCAGACGAGTGACAAAATGAACCATCATAGAACAGTAGCACTTTTCAATGTGGTGGTATATACACACCACACACATATATATTACTATGATCACATAGCAAAAAAACAGAAAGAGTGTAACCTGGCTGGAATTGCAGAGCATGGTCTCAGTGTGTGGGTAAAGCTCTTCTGAGAGACGAGAAGAGTAAAGCCTTACATACTTTTTTCCAACCACCTGAAAGTAAGATTGCGATCATCTAGGGAAAGAATCATGGAAATGGCACACATGCAATTTTTTAAGGGTCTCTTTGGATCTTTGATAATGCTAGAGAAAGAAAATGAGGAGGAAAAATGAGACATTGGTTGAAACTCAATAAATATCATCATCATCATCATTTCCCCAGTGCAACAAAGGCTCCCACCTAAGGTGGGGTAAGGGGGGTCTGATGTATACAGCCTTACCCCAGTACTAAAGCACAAAGAGACTGTTTTCGGATGACCCATAGTGAAACTCGCGTCGAAAATTGCATGGATTGCTGCTTCATAACAAAGAAGCGCAAACAGTTTAGTGAGTCATTTTGCTTGATTCCATCATATACCCAAGCCAAAAAAATAGTGAGTCTTTGGCTCCATTGCAAATGATGGAAATTGAAACTCAATAAATATAACTTCTAAAATTTGTTCAAATTCAATTCTTAAATAAATATCTACTCAGTATTATATAATTACCAGCAAATCTAAGCTTACATGAGAAATGTTTACAAATATTGATCATATTTCACTTTCCTTTCCATTTTGCAATGTAAAACCAAACATAAAATTCAACTTCATTGGTGTTTCCTTTCCTTCCCCTAGCATATGTGGTATCCAAACATAGCCTATAGGAACAGGAATAAAGTTATTTGGTCATAAGAACATTCATGTTCTTCTCAGAAAAGTGAATTGAACCTTATCTCTGATCACCTAAAGAGTCATTTTCCCATTCTTTGACTGATCTAAATTCTTTGTTTTGTTTCTCAGTTTAGAAAAAAAGATTAAAAATTTCACTCATCGGTGTAAATTCCATCCCAGAAAAGATATGGTGTATCATTAATACAGCCACAATATGAGTGAGAAAGTGCATGTACATCGATCAGCTGCTGGGGGTATGAATATTGGATTGATTAATTAGTTTGCGCCAAACATGAGCAACTATACCAGAGTTGGACGAAGAAAGCTGAGCTAGGTTGAGGATTCAAAAGCAGCTTCACTCCAACTTGGACTCATGACGAGTATGTTAAGGTTGCTAGGCCATCAACCGGATGAGACGCACCACCCCAATGTCCGGGAATGGTGTAAAATATGTGAGGGTGGGGTGGAGTTGAGGTGGTGATAAGAATAGAAAATGGAGTTCTAGATTTTGTTTTGAGGCATGGAACATTGGGTCTCTTACATTGGGTCTCAAACATCTGATATAGGTGGTGATAAGAGGTTATGAGGCGGAGGAAGATTAGCATTATGTGCATGTAAGAAACAAGTTGTGTTGGAGAGAAGGCACGAAAGATTAATCTCGGATGTTTGAAGTTGTGGTATTTGAGAAAAGAGAAGACTATAAATGGAGCAAACATTATTGTGACGTGTGAGTATACTGAGTATGTTGTGGAAGTCTTGAGAAAAGAGAAGACAATATTTTTTCACCTATCTGCTCCATGAGACAATCAAGCAGTTCAAATATCTTCTTACAAGATTTAACATATTCAGAGGCACCAACAGACTTCACGAAAGTAGTCCCAGCTGGAGATTTCACCAGAAAGTTAATTACGATTCTTTACTTCAGATCACTCCATCTGTCAGACATAATGGAACAGACGAATTTTCTCTACTGTTTCTTATGATTGCCAATAACTTGTCGGTATGTTCAACGGTTCCACTGATACGGAGCAGACGCGTGCGACCGAAGACGAAGAAGCAGAGGGCCGCAGGCCCTTGATTGTTTATCGCAGGCGGGGTCGGGAGAAGCCCACATCCGTGGGCCAGGCTGGATGAAGAGTTATTTAGCTTAATTCTTATTTAATTAGTATTGGCTTTTAATTAGTTTCCTAGTTTCAGTAATTTAGGAGTTTCCTAAATTATTTTCAGTTTATTTCCTAATATCAATAATTTAGGAGTTTCCTTTATCCAAGGATAAGTCGTCTATTTATACCCCCTAAAGGGGCTTTCAAACTATGTTTTATGAATAAGAATTTGTGTGTGTTAAGCTCTTGAGTTTTGTCAACGGTGGTTACCGTTAATTGTTATTTTCCGTTCATATTAATTGGTCCGACCTGCCGGATCCCGTCCCGCCACAATGACAAGATCTCAAAGTGAACGTTTGCAAGAATTGGAGAACGAACAAAGTCGCACGGGCGAAGAAGTAACCCGACTGGGGGCCGAACAAACCCGAACAAACCAAACCCTCGAAGACCATGGCACGCAACTGGTGGCCATAAACCAGACACTCAGTAATCATGGTACAAAACTGGAGGAGATTGCCGCCTCACTGGCGGCGTTGACCCAGGCACTAGTACCGCCGATAGTGCCGAAGACAACCGCCGGTGGTGGAGGTGGCATCGTGGTAACCGCGCAGCAGGGCGACAACGGGCTGGGCAATCCAACGCTAACATTACTTCCGTCATTCGATGGGGGGGATCCCATCGGGTGGTTAGCAAGGGCAGAACAGCAGTTCGAATTACCCAACTCTCCCCCGGGAAAGAAAGTGGCTGCCGCAATGGTAGCTATGGAAGGAGGAGCGCTCTACTGGGCAACATGGCTCAAATCACGTAAGCCGAGTATGGGCTGGGAGGATTTTAAACAGGCCTTGGTAACCAGGTTTGATTCCCGGTATAAAGGGAATAAATTCGAACGGTTATCCGGAGCTAAACAAACGGGGTCCGTTGATGAATACAATGTCCTTTTTGTTCAATTGGCAAGCCAAGTTTCGGGATTGTCTGATGATCACTATTTGGGTTATTACATGAGTGGTCTCAAGGAAGCAATCCGAAGCGAGCTACGTTTATTACGACCTGAGAGCCTGGAAACGGCAATGGAGTTGGCCGGGGATGTCGAGCACAATCTGGCCATTCAGAATGGAGGGAGAGGCGGACCAAATTTTAACTCAACCGGGTCTCGAATAAACAGCTATCCACGTCCAAACCCGGGTATGCTTTCAACTACGAGTAACGGCAGTTCGCGTGTCCAGGGGGGCAGCTTGCCGAAAACAACTGGGCCAATAGTGGGGACCACACCACCAGTAACCGGGACCACGTCCGGAACATCGGGGCAGGCCACGGAACGCTCCAGGTTTACTCGAATACCCCCAAGGGTTTACGATGATTTACGCGCCAGAGGACTGTGTTTCAAATGTCGGAAACCCTACTCACCGGGACATGAATGTCCATTAAAACAGTTAAGGGTGATGCTAGCAGACGACGACGAAGAGTTGGACTTACAGCAATATGATTATTGCGACATAACGGGGCAGGAGGAATTTCCGCGAGACGACGACCCTCCCGAGGGACAAGAGGGAGATTTTCCAGTCTATGCCATGGCCGGAATTTTCAGCCCTCAGACTATGAGGCTCCGCGGGATGATTGGGGGGTGCACGGCCACAGTCTTGATTGACAGCGGTGCCAGTCATAATTTTGTATCTTCTTCCTTGGTATCTCTATTACGACTAAAACAAGACAAGACTGGAAGGTTTGGAGTGCAATTAGGGGATGGGCATAGACAGGAATCCGAAGGAGTATGCCGTCAACTTTCCATAAACTTACCGGGATGTGCTATCAAGGCTGATTGTTTTGTCTTCCCGTTGGCAGGAGTGGATCTCATACTAGGAGTTGCTTGGTTAGCAACTTTGGGGGAGGTGCAGACAAATTGGAAAGAGTTAACCATGCAGTTCAAACTTAACGGCAAGAAGGTTGAGTTAAAGGGAGATCCCGCGATGTGCAAAAATGCAGTCAGTTTACGGTCTTTACTTAAGACAGCAGACGGAGAGTTCAGTGCAATTGTCCTCATCAGGGAAGCTAGTAAGGGGAAGGAAGCAACAACGGATTCACTAGATGATATCCTCAGTCAGCATACGGAGGTTTTTGCAGAAGTGCAGGGGCTGCCACCACGCCGAACTAGGGATCACCGTATCGAGTTGGAACCTGGGGCAAAACCAGTTTCAGTTCGGCCATACCGGTACGGTCATTTACAAAAGGATGAAATTGAGAGATTAGTCAACGAGATGCTTCAGGCCGGTATTATTCAGCCCAGTTCCAGTCCCTTTTCCAGTCCGGTTTTGTTGGTCAAAAAGAAAGATGGCAGCTGGCGTTTCTGCGTAGACTACCGGGAGTTGAATAAATCAACAGTGCCAGACAAGTACCCTATTCCGGTAATACAGGAGATGTTAGACGAGTTGGCCGGCGCTATGGTCTTTTCAAAGATTGACTTACGTTCCGGGTATCATCAGATCAGGGTGGCTGATCCGGACATCCACAAGACCGCTTTTCGTACTCACAGTGGGCATTATGAATTTTTAGTAATGCCGTTCGGATTGACTAACGCACCGGCCACTTTTCAAGCAGTCATGAATGATTTATTTCGGCCATACTTACGAAAATTCGTATTGGTGTTTTTTGACGACATCTTGGTATACAGCAGTTCATGGGCCGAGCACCGAGAACAATTGAGTCAGGTTCTGAGCATTCTAAAAATAAATCAGTTCAAAGCTAATAGAAAGAAGTGCACTTTCGGCCAGCCTCAGGTGGAATATCTAGGGCACATAATCTCGCAGGAAGGAGTAGCTATGGATCCGGCCAAAGTCAATGCAGTGATATCATGGCCTCGGCCGAAGACAGCCCGGGAGGTTCGAGGATTTCTGGGGCTAACAGGGTACTACCGGAGGTTCGTTAAAGGATATGGACAGATCGCACGACCGCTTACAGGGCTTTTAAAAAAGGAAGCCTTAACTTGTTTCCGATGGACAGAAGAGGCCGAGGAGGCCTTCCGACAACTCAAGAAGGCATTAACGGAAGCACCCGTGTTAGCCATGCCACAATTTGACCGACTGTTTGTGGTAGAATGTGACGCATCCGGAACGGGAATTGGAGCGGTTCTTATGCAAGAACGAAGGCCCATTGCGTATTATAGCAAAATATTATCTGACAAAACTTTATCCAAATCCGCCTACGAAAGAGAGATGATGGGATTAGCTCTGGCCGTGCAACATTGGCG